GCTCCATGTGGTGGAATTCATTATAAAAAAAGTTTTATCAGACGCATTAAAAATTCATTCGTACAATATGAAGAACAAACGATCGCGGTTCTTTTGAAATATAAAACTTCTAGAAATGTTAAAAACTGAAAAAGGAGATACATTTTTTTCTGTAAAAAATCTTGAAAACTGGCATTATTTGGAATATTTTCCTCCGGAAAAGGACTATACATGATTCTATCTACTAATTAATTTTTTAAGAATCATTTGAATCATCTTGAATCTCCACAAAATCAGATAAAAAATCTTGAAAATACGGCTTTAGACTTGCAATTGTGATCGCGCCAAATTTTTTTCTGTAGATCAAAAATTAATTTGCAGTTTGGAACTGTTCTGTGGGAGACCGTGTTATGTGATTTTTTTCGATCAAAAAATTTTTTTCCGAGTTTTTTTGATATTTTTTGATCAAACAGACAAACAATCCAAAAACACAAAAAAATGGAGAAAATTGTATTGAGAGCTCAAAATTTGGCTCAAAATGACAAACTTTTTGCTACCGGGCCGGGCCGGGCCCGGGCTATTATCTCAATTCCTATGCAAGATATCAAAAATGTTCCAACAGGCAAAACACCTCTGACACCTCTTGATGATCAATTTATTAGTTTACAATTTTTATATTTTTACAGTAACCGATATAAATTGGCCCAAAGTTAAAAGCAAGCTTGGCCCTTCTATTACAGGTTTCGCGGTACAGTTTATTGCTCCTCAAATCATATTTCTTTTCCTCTTTCATCGACCTTCTTGACCGGAGAAAAAGCATCCAGGTGTTTCTTTAATGACGTGAATTTGGGTAATTAGATGAGGGCAGAAGGGGTTGAGTGGGTTGAACTTGAGCTGATTGTCAGACACATTTCAGATAGGTGATCTGATCATAAAATTATGTCCGTTGTCTACTTGTGATCAGTGCCTCAATTGAATTTTCACTTTTTTCAATCAAGATATTTCGTTTGCAAATTAAAAATGTTGTAGAATACTCTGAAGTTAATAGCAAATATTCGTTTTGTGTATTCTGGAGGTTTGATTATTTTATGTATCGTAAAACCTGTAATAGAAGGGCGCCCTTGACTTTCAAGTTTGATCTGATTTAATTTTTCTTGGCTCCTATGCGAGGTATTAGAAATGTATTAACTGATAAAGTGTTTGTGATAAAACGATAAATGATTTGTCAGTTTACAACCTTTTTGTATCTTTCACAGGAACTGAGATAAACTGACTCAAAAATAAAGTTTGGGCCCTTTTATTTCAGGTTTTTTGAGGGTTGGGCTATTTATCACGAAAATTGGATGTTTCTAGACAGTTCCCTTTTTTTCAATTGGTTCAAAAACCAATCCATCCTCAAAAACTAGTTTTTCTGAACCAGAATTCATTGGCTTCCATGATTTTGACCTTTCCTCTTGAACACACACCGTTTATCTGGAGTTCCAGGTGATTTTTCTGTGACGTGACATTTAAATAGAGATGAAAAAGTTGATTGGTATATATAAGCGAGTCATATAACGCCTGGAATTCTGGAGCTTTCAGTTTTTTCAAGGTTCATTTTGTTATACTTCCCAAGAACGAGGCTTTCAAAATTCCAAAACTCCAAACGAACAGTTTTAAAACAAAAATTTGAAACTGTAAATTGAATGTTAGCCTTTAAGTGTGTGCTATCAGTTTTAACACCAAAAAAGAAAAGATAATTTAGAGTTCTCTAGAAACTAAGGTCTTGAACAAGAATCCTCAGATCATGACCTTCCTTTCTCAACCAATAATAAAAGTTGGAAGGCACCTCTTTCTGGATAACTTCCTGTTTCCGAGTACTCCTCTTCTTCCTTTATTTCTTCATCTTCTTCTATTTTTACTGCTGCTCCCTATTCTCTTTTTTTATTTTTGTGTCTGAAAGAGTTTCCGCAACCTGCCTTATCCAATTACTATTTCCTCTCTTTCTCTCTAAATACACTCCAAAACTTTTTTCTGCTTCTTCCTTCAACAACTCACTTTTTTCTGGACGCTTTCATTTCATTTACCCCCGTCCTTTATGTTTCCTGGGTTCAATTTCTTATTCACTAATAGTAAGCATCTTTTGGAAGAATTCACAGTATCCGTACGGTCCGTAAGATTTCAAGTTTTGTGGTTTCTGATTTGTCTGAAAATCCTACCCTTTCTCTTCCTGTTCATTTACTATTCTCAAGAACCGGAACATTCTGATCTCTGTCTTGTTTGTTATTTCCCTCCGGAATCCTACAATTACATTTTTGTATTTTTGCCCTCTCAGCTGATAAGAAAATGAGTCAAGATAACAGAAAAAAGAATATACATCCTTGTCTGGATGAGCCAAAAAATCCCTGGTGCAAAAAAAAGCTAAATTTATTTTTGAATTTTCTTCTTCCTGGTTTTGTCCCCAGTTCAAATAGTAATTTCTTCTTCTTCTTCCGTTTTCAAACTTCAAACGATCAAATCAAATCGAAGAGGTTGCAGGTGAAAATAACCAGAAAAGGTTTTTTGTAGCTTTTCTGAGCTCTCGGGAAGTATATTTCATTTTTCATCTGTGTTCATTTTTCATGCGATTCCAGCTTACAGTATATAATTTTATGATAATATATGTATGTTTTCTTCCAGAATGATCTGTCCACTACCATCAAGTTTGAACGAAGTGGACTTGAGGTGTTCAGCCGATAAAGTGAGTTATTTTCCTTACACAGAGGATTACTGTACTAAATACCGTGATCACTGAAAGCAAGAATAAAAAATCCTGCCAGGAGAGTAACTAAAAAGCAGCAAGAAGTCTGAACTTTAGAACTTTCAGCTTTGTTCTCCTCCTCTTGATCATTTAGATGGAACCTTCCAGGCTCATAGAAATCAAAAATCCACGTGTCTTTTTTGTAGTTCTTGCATCACTTACTACAAGAAAAATAGGCATGAATAACAAAAGATTGTAGTATAAGGAACTTTATGAGTAACAGAAGAAAAAAGGACATTTAGAAAGCATCTGCTGGAAAGATATGAGAAAAACAGGAGATGGGGAAGTAGTAATTGTAATAAGTGGAGAGTAGTCTGGAGGAAGTAATTGACAGAAAGAATAATAATGAGTCACAATGTTTAATTTTTTATGGGAGCGGAATTGATTAAATGGGATGAAAACTGAAAAATCGGATCAACGTTAAATGTTAGGGTGCCCTTCTTTTACAGGGTTTACTGTACATCAAACAAGTTATTGTAGCTCCTAAATGGGTCATATCCCAACTGCACATTTGGAATGTTCTATGATCAAATGTATCTCACCCACGGCGTCTATTTCATCTTCGAACCAACTCCATTCGTTCATCCCATATTTTCCCAAATCTTCTACGGAATCCTATTCACCATGACGATATTCTTAGCGCTTATGGGCAATTTTACAGTGATGTGGTGAGTTTTCAGCTCAAATTTCTTTAAATTCCAATCTGTATATTTCAGGATCATCTTGTACCATCGTCAAATGCGAAGTGTCACGAACTACTATCTATTCAATTTGGCCGTTGCCGATGCTTCGATTTCAGTCTTCAACACTGGATTCTCATGGTCCTATAACTATTATTATGTGTGGAAGTGAGTGTGTTACTTTTGAAATTGGGAAATAATACAACAACAAAAACGTTCCAGGTTCGGAAGTTTCTATTGTCGAATCAACAATTTGATGGGAATCACACCGATCTGTGCCAGCGTGTTCACAATGATTGTCATGAGCATTGAGAGGTGATTTCAAATAGAAAAAAATTATTGAAGCTGAAATTTCCAATTTCAGGTACTACGCGATAATGCATCCGCTGAAAAAGCGACCTGGTAAGAGGTCGACTGTCACCATTATCATCATGATTTGGTTTTTGGCTTTCTTGTTCGGAGTTCCAGCTTTTTTGGCGTCCAAGGTACAGTTGATACAAGCTAAAACTATCGCAATCATTCGATAAAACTACAGGTAGACGTCTACTACTTCTATGATGGCACAACTCTCTACGAGAATCCTCTCTGTCTGGCTGACAATTATCCAGGTGGAAATGAATCTGTTCTCGGGCAAATGTGAGTTATTATGAAAAAAGATTCTATGAAATTCTTTTTTTTTTCAGATATAACAACGGATTGATAACATTCCAGTATATTCTTCCTTTGTGCATTCTATCAGCAGCCTATTATAGAGTCGGAGTGGAACTAAGAAAGGTGAGAAGGGGTTCAGGAAATTTGACAAAGGATTATTAAAAAATAAAGAGCAAGTAGATCAACTTTCTCTTCTATATAACAGTAAAACGCAACAAAAAAAAAGATATAAATCCGACTTTCAGGACAAAACCGTTGGAGACGTTCGTCATGCGAAATCAGTTGCAGCCAAAAAGAAGGCATCGATCATGTTGGCTGTCGTTGTGTTCATTTTCATGATTGTCTGGTTCCCATACAACGCCTACTACTTGACGTTACATTTGGTTGAGCCGATTGGAAACAAAATGCTCAGTTTGTACATTTACATCAACATCTATTGGTTGGGAATGTCGTCGACTGTTTTCAATCCAGTCATTTATTATTTTATGAACAAGAGGTAGGTTATTATGCATCCAATCTCTCCGAATCAGCATGATGTTGACGTTGGGAAAACTAGACATACTTGATAGATTGAATTATAAGACCAGAACATCAGAAGCCATAGAGTTTATGTTCGTGTCTTGTGACGAAACTACATTCGCTAACATAAAATATTTCCAGATTCCGTGTCGGTTTCCACCACGCCTTCCGGTGGCTTCCGTTCGTTCGTTCCGACAAAGACGAATATCATTCGATTCTCTCCCAAACGCGTCCATCCCTTATGCCTCCCACAACCATGGCTCATACGGATTTCTGACAATTACAGAAAGATAGGAAACAATCTGAAAGTTGCATTTAGATTTTTTATAACTTTCTAATTCTCTCTATTATGTGTATTTTTTCAATTCGGGTTTATGAAAATTTATTTATATATTTTTTTCGAATTTTTCTATTTACCAGCTAATATTATGGCTACACGAAATTACACTGAATGTTTCAATTCAAAATGAAATTGATTCCTATTTATTTATCCAGGTTTCTTCTTCTATTTGCTCATCATCGCCATCTCTTTATATCGTTTTTCCGACATCGCCAACTCCATCAACACGTATTCCTTGACCGACGGAGATTCGATTTTATCCTGAATCTGCTCTTTCACACGTTCTGCTGTGTCTTTCGGGTACTTTTGACCTGAAAATTCGCATTTGTATTGTTTTCTGAACGCTTAAAAAGCTAACGATAATAATCGAGAAGTTCTTGAGCGTAAACGAGCCATACACAACTCGCGCACCCTTCTTGGCAACACAATCCCGGCTCCGGCTCTACGGGACGACTCTGTAAACTTAAATTTTTAATAAAATAAAAAATACCAAGAACTCACCATATTGAAACTACTCAAAAATCGTTGTGTACATCTTCTGAATATTGTGAATCCATTATTTACAGCTATACTCATCTATACGAGAGGTACTGGAAAATATTGAGCGATGATTGTTTTTTTTTATTCGACAAAATTATTTTGAAACAATTTTTATTTAGAATCTTTGCAAAATTCGCTCGAGAACAAAGAAAGTAGAAGAAAACATCAGGCGACAGGGAAAAAATAAATGTTTGGTTTGTCCGAGTGGAGTACACGACGTTTGGATCTCTAGGCCATCTGCGTTTTCTCGGACATTTGAGAGATTTTCGGCGCGGAATTTGAATCAGATTTCCTAATAATCCAGAGAAATCTCGAAAAACTGAAGGGAATAGAGCACAAAAAAAACAAAGATTACAGCTCAGAATTTTTTAAAGTTTCATAAGTGTGCATAAGAAAACTTTCACTTTCCCAGACTTCATTGTCCATAGGCCACGAGGAAGAGCAAACAAAACTGCATCGATAACAAAATTTTTATTATCAAAGGCACTGTCAGTATACACAACTGCCTCGACTTGTATCATGCAAACGCAGTACGAAACTTTTTTTTCTTTTTCTTTTTTTTTTGTTAGATTTAATTGTCTCATATTGTGATATTTTAGGGAGTCATCTCCGGAACTACATTTAAATATATCTAAAGAAAGTATCAAACTGAAAACAAAATCATTGAATAAAAATGAACGCCGACAAAAAGAAATTCTATCTGGCTGCCAGAAGAAAAGAAATAGATGGAGTAATGAATCTGGTCATCGTGGATCCATGGACCGGAGAACGATACGAGAACAATGAAGTAGAACTTCGCAATAAATATAACATACAACTAGGAGATTTTCTACATGCTAAAGTTGATGGTAATAATCAATTGTGCGAGTTTGGAAGAACCGAACATTCTGCAAACATCTTGGTCAAAGTGGAAGGAAATGTGGCTTTTGTGAGATTAATGAAAAATGTAAATAGAAATAATCAGAGCATTTTCAGGTGACAAATTTGATGTCCAAATTGAATTTGGTCTACGAAACTCTTGTGTTCCAAAATAAACTCTTTGGAGATTCCATATGTCATGATAGCAACTTACCACAAGGAGACTACAAAATCAGATTGAATTTGTAAGTACGGGATGGGTTCGGATGGGAGTATAATGGGATCGGAGAACGGGTAGATGGGCGGAGTCACATCTTCAATGATTTTTGATTTTCTTAGATATGCTTTTAAAAGTTCTAGAATTCGGTATAACCATCAAGGACAGTTATGTTAGACAATCATGAGTTTAAATACCAATATTCGTGAATCAGACTTTCGAATATCAATTTTAATTTTTTGTCCGACTTCGTCGCCGCAACCAATGGGAATTGAAAAATCCAAAAAGATTTACCTACTACTTGAAACCGAAATCTTTTTATAACAATACGAACTTCTCAAGGATTCTGAAAAGGAATTCAAATTTGAAAAAATGTTGAAGGCTAGGTGTTTCAAACTTCAACAGTCTTGTAAAACTAGTAAGAAAACCAAAAACCCACACGATATCCACCCACAAAATCACAATAAATTGATTTTAAACACACCAATAGAGTGCCACCCAAACCGTCAACTTTAAGCCGATTTATCTCGGTTTCTGTTGAAGGCATCAAACGTGTTTAACTGAAAAAAGTATTTTTGAAATTATGGTAAAAAGTTTGTCAGTTGGCACTTTTTTGATATCTTGCATAAAAAATTAAGATGATTGAACTCAAACTTAACAGTGTGGAGGCCATCTATTAACGGGTTTTACGGTAGCCTCTCGAGGAGTTGTGTGCTGAGTATGGAAGGCGTGGTGCTACTACCGACTAAGCCACGGCGAAGCTAGAGCGGCTGATCGATGTGATAGCTGTGTGAACACTAAACAAAGTTCACTGTCACGTCAGAATGCAACCAATAACTCCAAAAAAAATCCGAAAATTCTCCTGTCCCTCCTCCTTCAAAATCTAGAAATAACTTCAGACTCGACACTCCACTCCCACTGAAACCCGGAAGAGTTATACACTTCGAAGCCACTAGTCCCGAGCCAAAAATACAAAAAGTCATAACAGGGGCTGGATTTGCTGCACCTCCTGCAGAGAATAAAATAATTGGAGAAGGATTTGCACAGGCAGGGAAAAGAGAAGAACCGGTCAAGAATAGAGCGGTTGTGTTGAGTAAAGTGGACAAACCAATTGGAACACATTATTATCTCTGGAATCTTGACTCAAAGACGTAATCGATATCTAGTTCCTTGCGGAATGTTTGAATTTGAAATTTCAGCGAAGGACTTTTCGTGTCAAATGCTCATTCTCTGGAACCTGGACACTTTTTCACAGGGATATTCAAAAAGAAGCCAGATGGAAAGTGCACCTGTTTGAAATATGAAAAACCACTCGAGCCAGCACCGTTTACTGGTGGAATCAGACCAAATGGAAAAATATACTTTACTGTCAAAATCGATAAATATGAACCAGCAAAAGGAAATATGAAATACGCACATGCGATGGCTAAGTATATCGGAGAAGTTGTGAGTTTTATAAGTTTTTGAAACTCTTCCAAAATTTGAAATTTCAGTTGGAAGGAGAGACTGATGCCACAAAATTGAGCAAAGAATTCAATGGAAGAATGGTGAACATTCAACGCCGTGGAATCGAACAAAAGGATTTTGTTTGGGTTATCACTGAGATTCTGGATAATTGAAGAACCACTTGAACGTTTTGAGAAAAATCAACTTTAAAACATTATAACAATTCCGGATAATTATTTAAGTTTTTTTTTTGACTCATTGTCAGGGATTTCTTTGCCATGGGGTTAACATGAAAAAACTAGGTTTTCCAAAATGTCACCCATTGGGGCCAAATTTTGTTTGTCCACATCGAAAAAATTCCCTGATAGTGAGTTATTTATTTAGAAGTGAATAACATGAAACATTTAAAGATTTTTTTTTACAAATAAAGTTATCGGAAAAATACTTTTTTGAAACGCCAGCATGCTTCGATTAGTTCCTCCCACTCGTCATAATCGGCCTATTCTGAACTCTTCATACCACAAACTGATACCAGAAATTTCATTTCAATCGTTTCTTCTCGAACGATGGCTGCTGTCCCGGACAAATATTTCTTTGCTGGATATCTAGGATACTATACTGATGGAGAAATCTTTTTGAATATCATTGGATTAGGGTAAGTCAAGAACGGAATTCAGAAATTTATATTATGCGATTTTATCAGAACAATCAACAATCTGTCATTTTCGGTACGCGAGAGCAGACTAAAAAAACGTGGAATCAAACTGGGTGACTTCTTGTCCGCTTCTGTTCCCATGGGAAAACCAGTTGAGAATTTCGACAAAGTGAACTACAAGTTCACAGTGAATGTGGATGGGAATACGGCAACGATTGAAGACCAAGAAGCTGATTTAGAGAAAAACGAGGATGAAGTTTTGGTTTCCCGAGTGAAAGCTTTCGGATCTGTCAGATCGATAAAACAGAATATTCCAGTTGGGAAATATCGAATCAACATCAGGGCGTAAGTTCAGTGATTACAAATGAACATATGGTTTGAAGAATCAAAAATGTTTCCAGAACCAAACCAAGCGAAGAATACATATTCTCTTTCCTCTACGCTCCAAGAGAATATGTTTTTCTGTTTCATCACTTTGAAAGAGGGTTTTGATCTTACAAGTTCATTATACATAGGTTTTACGTTCAATTAATAAGGTTTTTACGTTCAATTAATAAGGTCGTATGATGGTGTTAGTACATGACAGCGCTATGCTTTGAGTTCAGCTCAAACTACTAGTAAAAACAAGGGGTTTGAGAGTCGATAGAAATGGAACATGATAAAAGTATGAAGCGATATCGATAAATTAGTATAAACACAAAACACTAGTTAATCAACAATAAACTAAAATGATAATTATTACTCGAAATCTTCGTCGTCCTCCTCGACTCCAATTCCGTTCTCTTGGGGATGCAGGCATCCTTGGGCTCTCGGCACATCCTTGATGTATCGTTGTAGACCTGCCAGCGATCTCCATCTCCCTCTTGCTTGAATCTCCTCCATTGAATATCCTGTCGCCCTCATGTGATTCGCTCCTCCTCTCCGGAAAGCGTGATGGGTGGCTCCAGATTTTCCAATTGCCGCCAGCATCTTAGTGGCTAGTGCAGAGATCGACGATTTCGTCAGTTTCTTTGAACCATCAAGATTCGAGAAAACGTACGGACACTTTCCTCTTGAGTGAATCCTCCATCTACACATGAGAATATCCGCGTCACTTCCTGGATCATAGTTGAAGAACGATGATCGTCCTAGTCTCCACTGGTCATTCTTGGCCTTCTCCACGTGTACCTCAATCATCCCATCTTTTTGCGTCACTCCTTCCCACTTGATCTCGGCGGCTTCCGAAGCTCTCAGCATGACGTGAAAGGAAAAGATTGCAGCTTGATATGCAGCCGATATTTTCGACAGAGCGCTGCTTCCAATTCCTTTCGCTCGATCGACCAAATACAACAAAAAGGAAGACTCATTCAACGGAAGTCTCTTCTCAATTATCCAATCCTTCCTCCTCTTGTTCTCTGCTTTATAAGCCAGAGCAGTCGACGAGGCCTTAGATTCCAGTGGAGCCGCTTTGAGCTTGTCCAGGTGCGTCTGGAATTCTTTCCCTGCTTGTCTCTCGATCTCTTCGATGTAATCCTTTTTGGGGCCTTCTGAAAATTAGTTTATAAACTCTTTTGCCCTTCTTTATTCCTCTTCCCCGGGCGGGCGGGCTGGGACCCTCGTTAAAATTGCGTAGAATGGTTTGAAAACTCCGTTTTCACGCCCGGCGGTCGTGATCGTTGCGAGACCACAAGCCGCCGAAAGTCTATGCGCCTTTAACTCTCGCGCGCCTCTTTCTCCGTTCTTCAACGAAAAACATAATATTCTCTTTCCTCTACGCTCCAAGAGAATATGTTTTTTTGTTTCATCACTTTGAAAGAGGGTTTTGATCTTACAAGTTCATTATACATAGGTTTTACGTTCAATTAATAAGGTAGAAACAAGTGCAAAGCCTGGGGCCTATTGAGTGAAATCTAAAAATGCTAGAATAAAATCGGACCTACAAAATTTTGAGTTAGTAGCCTCGCAATGCCTAGATCCCTCCCCGGGAATGAAAATACAATCGTTTTTCTCGTAGATAATATAGTCTTTTACTTCCCTTATGAACCTCCCTGAATAATCTACAAGCGCCTGATAAGAAATATGACTTTTCCACAACGGGGCAACTAGCACGCCTCTCAATCTCCTTCTCCTCATAATTTTTATTAACTGAGGTATCAAAACTGGTGGAGGTACTAACCAAGGAAGTCCCATTCGCTCTGCTCTCTCGACGTGCTCGAAGACGTTGACTCCGCTCGTTCCAAACTCGGGATATCTAGAAAATACAATTCCGTCTTCTTATTATTCGCATCTGCGAACCAGTCCACTTTTATCTCGCCCCACATTCTCTGCGCTTGACTAAACACTCGCTCAGCTATTCCCCAGTCATCAAAATCAAAGTTTCCACTCGCTTCGTCCGCTTCTACATTTTCCTTTCTAGGAATCCACAAAAACGAGCTCTCACCGACGTTCTCCAAGTTATGCCACACTCTCTCAGCTAAAGAATGCAGCTCTGGCTTCATGGAGCCTCTTCTCAACACGCTCACGGCTGCCTGACTATCGACTAACACCTGAACTCTCCCTTTCAGGTTTGAACTTATTCTCGCCGAAGCCACTTCGACCGCGGTCAACTCTCTCCAAGCGCTCGACTGTTTTTCAAAGTTTCCATCGCCGATTTCTGTCATTTTCCACAAAATATCCTGCCTCTCATTCTTTAACAAGCCTCCAATACCACGCGCAGAGGCATCGGTATACAGGAATAAGTCGGGCTTTGACTCAACTTCTAATAAATTTCTTCTCAAAAGTTCTGCGCCTCTCGCTCTCCAGAACTCAATCTCTTTTTCCTCACCTGGAGACTTGTTCTTCCTTGCCATCTTCGACTCACTCTTCTTCTTCTGGTTTTCGCCGACCACCTGCATCATCCATCTTGCCTTCGCCACACCAATGTCACCTGTGACAAGCTCAAATGATGCCTGGCATCCCAAAAACTTCATACGGTCCAGAACCGTTGGAGCCAGGCTCCTCCTCAACTCATCAAGAGCAGACCACCACGTGGCCATTCTCTTCTCGGTTCCACGAACCTCTTTCGCGACCAGGTCGCATTCATAACCAAGCCACGTAAACTTAGCGTCTGGCACCCAGAACGACTTTTCTTCTGCCACACACACACCAGCATTATGCAGATCTTCTCTCACCTTTCTCACTGCTCTCGCAACTTCTCTCTCCGTCTCACCCACAACTAATCCATCATCAAGATATAAAAAGATTTTTATACCCTCCGCACGCCATTTTTGAACTAAGACTTTAAAAATTTTTGTGAAAAGCCAAGGGGCAATTGACAAACCAAAAGGTAAACCCTTAAACAAAAAATATGGGGCGGCGGGAGGGTTCGACAGCGAAAAACCGAGAAGATCTCTTGAATCGCGATGAATTTTTATATGATGATAGCCTGATTTGAAATCGAAAGTGGCCGCAAATTTCGCATTTTCTAGAAAAGGCCAGGCTGTCTTCAAATTCTCTAGTTTAAATCGAGGAGGAACCAGGCTCTCATTAAGCTCGCTCAAGTCCAAAATCATCCGCTTTTTCTTACCTTGTTCCACAACGTGGAGCGGGGACACACATCTCGGCTCTTCTTCAACTCTGACGACAACACCTTCTTCCTCCAACCGCTTAATTTCTGCAATCAAGAACTCTTCATGTCGTTTTACCGACGGCCTGAGGCCTTGTGGTTCTGGTAAAATTGTCTCTGAATTCAGCTGGATTTTATAACCATCCTCAATTACACTCAACACCCATTCTACATTACAAATGTTTTCCCAAAATTCAATGGCTTCGGAAAGTCTCTCCGGAAAACACTTACCTTCGTTGTTCACAATCATTGGCATAGTGCCCATATCCTTGGCATTTGTAGCAGCGGATGCTTCTCTTGCCGTCTCTGCCTCCATAACCTTGGCCTCCATTTTGCCGAGTATTTCCCTGGCCTCGGAAAACACCCTCTGATCGAAACCACTGTTGTCTGCTTGGCAATGGGTCTTGTCTTCTTCTTTTTACGTCTCCATGATAACCTCCACTTTTCTTTCCAGCGATTCCAGTAAGGTTAGACAGGAGCAGAATCGACGTCATATCGGCTTGAGTCGAAGATCCTTCCGAATCTCCTCCAGAAATCGCCTTCAACGCGTCCAACTTCTCTTTCGTTTGTAGCAAATTCGGATCCGAGTCCAGCAACAACAACTCTCCGTTTCGAGACTTGATTAACTCCAGAACCTCTTTCACTCCATTCTCCAGATCATCGGCTGCCATCGCTTTACTCAAAACATTCTTTATTTTGAAATTAAAATCGATGTTCTTCTGGATCCCTTTTGACGAAACTTTTGGCGGCTTCTCCTCTTCCACTTCTTTCTCTTTCTTCTTCTTATCCACTCCTAAATTGATTAGTTCCGCTACCTTGCCAAGAATTTCTTCTCCAAACTCCTTCAACGCTGCTTTATCGATAGCATCAGCCATTTTCCTTCCGGATTTCGCCTAAACAATATATTAGTGAAAATTGACGGATAAAGAACCTAATTATCTCACTATTACCGTTTTCGACACAATTAAACAAACAGCAAAAAATAAAAAACTCTCAAAAAAAAAACGAAAAACAGGCTACGACCTCGTTAAAATTGCGTAGAATGGTTTGAAAACTCCGTTTTCACGCCCGGCGGTCGTGATCGTTGCGAGACCACAAGCCGCCGAAAGTCTATGCGCCTTTAACTCTCGCGCGCCTCTTTCTCCGTTCTTCAACGAAAAACATAATATTCAATAGCATGAAGTACTGTGCTGACGTCAAGGAACCAATGAAGTCATTCTCATCTGATGTCATTGTTGGTACAGGATTTGCAATGAGCAACCTGAACATCAGCAAAAAGAAAAAGGTAGTAATGAAAGCTTTAGTTGAAGTTTCATTTTAAAAAATGAAAATGAACGTATTCGTCTACAGTTCGATTCCGAAAGGACAAAATACGACTTATTTTCTGTGGATTTGCGACAACCATCAGTTTGTCAATATTTAGAAAATGTCTGTTAATTCAAAGAATGTTTTAGAACATCCATATTCACTTCGAAAGCTCACACTCTTGCTCTGGGTCATTTTTTCGAAGGAATCTTCAAAGAAACACCAAACGAGAAGTCAAAATGGCAATGTGTGAAGTACATGAAACCTGCTGAACCTCTTCTGAAAGGAGAAATGGTTGCAAATCACGTTGTCCTGAGAACTTCAGTGGAGAAGTATAAGCCAGAAGATGCTTCGAAAAATTGGTATCCTCAAGTCCATTCCAAGCATCTCGGAAAGATCGTAAGTTTTCTAAATGAAAATTTTAGAGCCAAGTAATTTTTTTTGCAGATCGACAACAAGAAGAAACTCTCTGAAGACTGCAATGGACGCGAAATCAAAACTCAGCTCTGTAAGGTTGGAGATGATTACAGATGGGTTGTCATTGAACTTCTTTAAAAAATAAATATTTATTCATTCTAACTTTGGCTTACTATTCTTGAAACACTTAAGAATCGTTTTCACTAATTTCACAAAGATGCAAATTACTAGAACTAAAACTAGTATCAACAGAGTAATAATATCCAGAAAGTAGTAGACGAAAATATTTTGGTGTCTTCCATAGTTATCCATTGATGGAAGTTTCCCGAATCTGGCAGCAAATTCAACGTGTTTCACCAAAACTTCCTTCGCATTCGTCGGCAGATTCTTCAACATCTCAGCGACCCTTCTGGCATTTTTTGCGTATCTGCATAAAACAAAATTCTGTGGATTCGAATTCCAGAAAAATAACGAATACCTCGGATTCGTCAGCACGTCGTGAAGGGTGTCTCGTACAAGATCAGAATTGATTAAATCAGTTTTCTGTAGGACTGCTGCTCCTCCATGCCGTTTTAGCATTTGTGCGTTTCTTCCCTGGTCGGCAAATATTGGAACCTAAAACCATTTTTATAATAACTCTGCACAGGGTTTAGCTCACCATAACCGCTGGTTTTCCCATCAATGCCAACTCCATGACACTTGCTAAACCACCATGTGTCACGAATACAGTAATCCTTGGATCAGCGAGAAGTTCGTTTTGTGGGAGCCAGGAAGAAGTGTAGACGTTATCGAGATCCTTTGCAATATTATCAGACGAATCTTCGTATTTCCAGATGAATGTTATTTCAGGCATTGATTTGAAAACTTGAAGAAGACTTTGTCTGAAATTTAGTTTTTCGTATATCAAAATTAAATTGCAGAACTCACTTATACTCTTCCGGCATATCCTTTGACTTGGAAGCAGATCCAAACGAAACCAGTACATTTTTCTTTCGAATATTCAGAATCTCATCCCATTCCTCATCCAATTTCAAAACTTTCTCATTGGTTTTCACAGTGAATCCTCCAACGGGAATAATTTTGTCGAATGTTGGAGCAGGAAAATCCAAAACAGGAATGTGGTTAGAAAATATGAATGAGGATTCTGGCATGGTTTCCTGAAATCAAAACTCCTTCTGATGAACGGTATTTGTTAGTTTTGTTACCCTCCACGATCTTTCAATTCCCAAAATCTCTTTAGCCATTTCGAATTCATGGTCCAGAATATTTGCAAATGTATATCTGCCATAGTAAAACTGAACAGCATTCAGGAATCGTTCTTTAATATTCATTCGATCATTGAAAAATGATTGGGTGCCTGAAAAATATTATTTGAATCAATTTTCAAGACAACCTCATAATCGCTTACTTGGAACATAACTAGGAGCAATTGGCTGACCAATAACATCACTGACATGATCAAATCGGGCACACGAGAGCACTGTGATATGCGCGGGAACTTTTAGGTATTCAAAAATTGCTGTAAAATATTAATTTTCAGTTTTTAAAAAGGAAAGTAATCGTCCTACCATAGGCACATCCATCCACAACTTCAGTGATTGCCAAATCGAATTTCTCATTTTTCAGTTGATCTAACACTTCTCGCTCTTGTAGAACTTCTGAAAATTGATTACCGTAAAAACTCTAATTTAACACCATGGCGTTCTATTTTTCAATACTTAGCTGGGAGAACGTTCTATTAAAGGGTGGCATTCAATTAGAGGCTGGCATTCTATTATTCGACAGCGTCAGAAAAAATTTCGTTCAGGGATGTGAGATGTTTTCAGCATACAAACATATTCAAAAAGGTTCAAAACATTCAAATTTGACCATTTTCAACTATTTTATTTATTTGAATGTTTCTTTTTGGCCAGTACTGGCAACAACAATTAGTAGGTGAAACGAAAATGTCCTTTTGGGGTGACGCACTATTAGAGGGTGGCGTTCAATTGGAGGGTGGCATTCTATTTTTCAGAGCACTGCTCACTATCAGAGAACGTTCTATTGGGGGGTGGCGTTCAATTAGGAGGGACTATATATTAGAGTTTTTAAGGTATTTGGTTCTTCCGCTTTTCTGCCAATCTGTCATCTATTTCTTTTTCAAATCAATATGTTCGCGCTGACTCTTCTCTTATCATCTCAAATTGATACTCACATGTCTAGTTGTTCTCTTCAACCACATTTACATCGATTGTTCCGCAAAAAAAAATAACAACTGAAAGTGCTCTAATGAATTCCTCTGACAGTCTCCCGATCAAGAAGCCAGAGCCGCCCACACAATTTAAATATTTTCTATTCGCTGGTCGACGAATTAACTACATTGGTGAAATATGTCTCATACTCATCTCTCCACACAATGGAAGACATTTTTACGTGGAAGAGAAGAAATTGAATGACGCCTTCGTGTATTTGGGAAGTTTTTTACGAGCTAAAAGAACAACTAGACGAGTTCTCTACGATTTTGAACCTCTCGATAGTCCGAAGAAGTTTCAAGTGGAAGTAAAAGACGATGTTGCTTTTGTAAGTTTTCGTTCATTGAGAAAATTCTCGGAAGTTTTAACAAAAATGTCAGCTTGTTAATCTGGAAGCAACACTCGAGGACGTCGACGGAGTTAAACTTTTTCATTGTAAAACGTTAGGATATGTTTTTTGCAAAGAGGATCTGTTGCCTGGTAATCATTGGATCACAGCTCATTTGTATGCTCCTTTAAACTTCTAACTTTCATCAATTATCAATTTCAGAATGTCTCAATCAGTAGTTACTAAAAACGGAAAAGTTATTCACTTTGAGGGAAAACGGACTGCTGCACCACAAAAGCCACCACACCAATTGATGTCAAAAGTGAGTATCGCTTAACCTCCAAAAACAGGAGACATTGAGACAGAACCGACATCAAAATTATTTTTGAACTCTCCTTTTGACAAGAAAAGAGTCGTCGAAATCAAAATCACGAATCCCACTGAACACCGCATCGAAGTTGGAATCAAAACTAATAACCGAGAACGATTCAATGTGAATCCCGAGTTTGGAGTTCTTGATTCGAAAGAGTCAATTGTAATTTCAATAACTTGTAAAGCATTTCAGTTCGATCCGGATGAGAAATACGCGGATAAAGTCAAAATAGGATGGTTGAATGCACCTAGAGGAGCTGGGAAAGAGTTCAAAAAATAATGGTTCGAAGGAAAGGAGAAAGTTCTAGTCAAATATTTGAAGATCAAATATAATCCTTAGAAAACATGTGTAGTTTCTGTAATTATATGACTTTTTAATAAACATTCTCATTCTTCCACTATCAAAAAAAAAAACTCTCAATTGATAACAGAAACTCTTCCGATGGAGGTCAGCATTTTTATTGAATTTCATTTTGCTCTCTTTCTCATTGTAAATTTCTACACGGTTTTGCGAATTCCATGGAAAAATCTGAACCGATTCTTTTCTTCGCCGCGCGTCGTGGATTTTACACAGATGGTGTCAGCTTCATAGTGATTGTTGGGTTGAGGTTTGAACTTTTGAAATTAAGAATTATAGTACCTGTATCAGAAGGTCCCTCTAACAGGAACAATAGGAGGGTCGGCCTTTCTAATACGGGTATTACGGTATTTTAAGAAAAAAATTGCAGTCCACACGAAGACAAATGGTATCGGGTAACCGAAAGGAAACTGACAGAACGGGGGATTTCACTGGGAAACTTTCTATTGGCTACAATTGTTTCGTCAGATGTTGTCAAAAATTTCAAACTAACAAACTATTCATTAGAAGTCAAAGTTGAAGAAAATATCGCTTCCGTGAGTTTTAAAGATATTCAATCAAAATCGGAATTCTGAAGTTCAGGTGATAGTTCCAACGGATAAATTGGTTCCCTGTAACGATGGAACTGTGGGATTCAGAACGAAACCATTTGGCATTGTGATATCTGTGGATAAAAATATACAACCAGGCAACTACTTGATCAAAATCACATCGTAAGCCCTTTGAAATGGTTTTTGGATATTTTCAAGTTTCCAGAGAGAGTGTGCCGGGAGAGAAAAAGCGAGACTGTCACCCACTACGCCTTCTATGCAATATTTTCAGGGATAAAAAGTGCACACTGTTCAATTTGATCCTATCGATTTTGGAATTTTCAGATCCCTTTCCTCTTCCATCAAAAGATCTCCACTCCGTGCAGAAGTGATTCCAAGGTCTGGTTCCCAAGATTCAAATGCATACGAAAACTACCCTCAACCGGCATCAAGAACATCAAGCACAAAATACACATCTGTTTCGACGGTTACAAATAAAAGTATCTATGAGACTGCGTCCGTTCATTCCAAAGTTTCCGAAGATGACCGGTACAGACCCAGCAATCAGACGATGTCAGAAGCAGGATCAATTGAAGATTTGATTGCGAAATTACCAGATTTGAAACCTCCAATGCCTCTTCCAAGAACAGTTAAACCTGAAGAAACTCAGCCAACTCCTATTAAAAATGTTGTTGTTGGATGTGGATTTGCAGTGAAGGTTCCAAAAGATCCAAAGAAACAGGTGAGTGGATTCAGAATTTTGATAGAAAATTGGGAAATTTCTAGATGATCGCATTCGTAACCAATGTTCACACCGTTGAAACTTATCGACTACATTTTCTATGGATTTGTGACATTCAAGAGTTAGCTATTTTTTTCTTAAAATGAAAATTATCAAAATTTTATAGAGAAGCCATACTCCGTTCGCCCAAATACGATTTGGACAAAGGACACTTCTTTGAAGGAATCTTTGTGTGCAAGGTAGCGTTATATACAAAAAAAGTTCAAAACTGTGATTTTTTTCAGAATAAAAAATGGATATGTGTGAAATATTTGAACGAAGTCGAACCACTAATCGAAGGAAGTCTAATTCGTGAAAAAATCGAGCTGACGTTGCCCGTTTTGAGCTATCAAGGAGCATCAGAAACTTCGAAATTTCCAGTGGTTTATGCAGATTATATTGGAAGAATAGTAATTAAAATAATAATGGTTTACGTATTCGAACTATATCTAATTTTTTCAGATCGATAAAAACTTCCGACTTCCAGCAAACTGTGTTGGCAGACCGATTACAGTGGAGAGATGGAGAGGCGATGATAATTCTTATTTTTGGTGTGTAACTGGAATTTTGGACGGTTGATTGTTTGTTGAATTTTTTAATTCTATCGAATGCGTATTACTCTCTTATCACTTCTGACCAATATTTGATTTTCCCAATTCTCTCCTAAAGTTTTTTCTTTCAATTGATAAACCAAAATCATTCTTTCCCACTACAATCCCTATAAGCAGTGAGCAATAAGAAATGGAAGGCTCTCGCAAATTTCTAGCCGGACGGAGATGCTATAGAGCCGATGGCGTAACTTATTTAGTTCTATTCGGAATGAGGTGAGAAAAAATAAATTCAGAATAAATTATTATTGAAAATTCCTTCAGCCCTTATAACGGGCAAAATTTCGACATTCTGGAGAGTGAGCTGAGCAATAGCGGTGTCATTCTTGGGGATTTTCTCATGGCCAACTTAACCGCTCAAAACAAATTGAAAGATTTTGTTCGGATTCGGTATCCATTGGATGTAAAAGTCGAAAATAATTTTGCAATAGTACGTTCTTATATTTAATTTTTCGAACAATCAGCAATCAAAAAAGTGTATTCTAGATGAAGTTTGCATCTGCCGCAGCTACTCGAGACTCGGAAGGGGTGCTTGTATTCAGAACAAAAGATTTCGGACCAGTGAAGTCAGTGAATCAAGAGTTACCTCTTGGAAGTTACGAAATTGTTATAAAAGCGTATGTGCTTAATTAATTTTGATATTTAAAACAAATATTGTTTCAGAGCAGATTCAATCACAAACTACAACATAACGCTATGTGCTGAAGCAATAGCAACAGCCGCGTCTCTATTGGTTATGAATACTCCAGCTGTTCACAACTTTTATTCTGTTCACAACCCCACAAACAGAGCAAAAAGGGATGGTATTCCGAACCCAATGAGCGCCTATGAATATATGAATTCAAGGGCATCGTCCATCAAGTCTGAAGGGCAACAATCTAGCACAAATTACCTGGAGCTCGAAAACTCATCAAGACCCATGTCTCTAACTATGAGTCAATTAATCGACAATCTACCAGAAGTTCATTTAACGCAAGACACGCCAACTCCGAAACCAAGGGGTATTCTTGGTGTTTCTAAAGCTGAAGTCAAACCGCTGAAGCCAATTAGTAAAATTCTAAAAGTGAAACCAAACGCGATTCCGGCTGCAGCAGTAGCTCCAATGCTTGTGCACGATGTAGAACCTTCCAGAAAAGTATGAAGAATATTTGTGTTTCTTAAAAAAAAACTTATATGAAATTCAGATGAAAGCCTTCGTTCATTCCGCTCTTGAACATTCTCCGAGTTCAAGATTCCATTTCCTGTGGATTTGTGATGTTCAGCAGTGAGTTTTGCAAAAAAAATCCGTTCAAAACTAGGCCATCTTTTCAGAGACTCCATATTAAAACTTCCAGGTTATGAACTTAATCTGGGTCATTTTTTCGAAGGAGTTTTTCAGAAACAGGTATTGCAGAAAAATTGAGATGAGTTTTTTTTTCTCAAATAAATAATTTCAGCCATCAGGCCAGTGGGAATGCATTGAGTATGTGCGTTCAATTGCTCCATTTATGAAGGGAAGCATTGTTCTTGGTAAAGTGGAGATAACGACTCCAATCTCCAACTACCAACAATCCCATGCAGAGTTCAAATACCCATGTGTCACAGCAAAACATCTGGGTATAATCGTAAGTGGCATTAATCAGAAATTTTGCATTTCCTCCGTTTTATAGATTGACCAAAAATGCTTTCTCACTCCCAATTGCAATGGAAAGCTAGTGACGGTTCAAAAGCGAAGACAAAATCAGGGAAAAAACTTTGTATGGGTCATCACCGGACTAGTCTAACTGTTTTTTTCTACTTATTCTTCATTTTAATTTTCAAATATATAAACCTACTTTTACATTGAGTTCCAAAGAATCCCACTAATGCATTTGACTTGGCTATCATTGCGGACGGTTGAGCCGAATCCAATGTCCACAGATATCCAGAAAACTTGTCGATCTGTCCCATTTTTTCTACCACCTTTTCATCCGGTTGAATATAAATCACTTTTTTAGTTTTGACAGATGACTTGTTCAGTTGGGTGGATTCGATGATTGGGCGAAATAGAGTCTGAATTTTTATGCTAATAGTAACATTTCTAGCAATCAAAGACTAACCACATCATGCCCGGCATCGGTTAAAAGATCAGCTACACTATTCAAAACTTTAATATGACTGTGGCCATATAAATTGGAATATACTAATATTTTATATGATGGACATATTTGAAGAAAAAGAATATGAAGAGCAATTGCAAATTCATTACAAACTAATGAAAAATGAATGCAAAAACGGGTATCTAGTAATGGCTAGGCCAACTTTAATCGGTCGGTCAAATATGATAACAGTCGTGGCGGGAACAAGAAAGTCAGGTTATGTGTTGTTGCGCAATGTTGTGGTGAAGACAAAAAAAGAGAGAAGGTACGGGGTCTGCCGTAGTTTTGTGTAGATGGCAGAGAAAAACAAACAAAAAGCAATCCAGAAAGTTATTACTCGTTCTGTGGTGAACTAGTGGAGAAATAGACAACAAAGCAGTTATCGGAAAATAAGAAAAATCGATGACGAGAAGTACGAATCATGTAGGTTATTATGGAGATTTGAATGCAATATATTGTTAAAATATTGACTTACTAGGGAATGGTCAGAACTTAGCTCGCGAGCGGGACATACAAATGTGTCCACTGGAAAGAAGGTTGCTTCTTGATTCCAGAACAGTTTTCAAATTTTGCTGAATGGCCCGGAGAGCCGAGATATTTGTGCTCCAAAATCAAGCGATAAACCATGTAAATCTCGCTTTATCCGTCACCAATGGCAATTTCAAAATGTTGTTCGTTGGCCGAGTGGTGTGTGCGCTGGTCTAGGAATCTGCTTTTGCGGGTTCGAACCCGTCTTCATTCAAACTTTTTGTTTTGTGTTTTTTGATCATTCAATAAT